CGAGTAGAGGGCTTCCCTGGTGGTTTCATTTAAACCCCTGGGTCTCCCCAACTCTTTCCAGAGCTTCAGGAGTTCTGGGAAAGCCTAGCCCTCTGATGCTGGGCGTTTGACTGCAGGGAAGGTCCTGGGTAGATTTCCTTTTAAGGTTTCCAGGGTGTGGATGCCAGCCTCCACCCGTGCACCTCGGTGCTGGGGTACTCTTACCTCCAGAGGCACTGGTTCTATTGTAGGGTGATTCTAATTGTTAGAAATCCTTACTGATAATGATTGGATTCTGCTTTCCTATGATTTCTGCCTACTGGGTCTTATTTTGTTCTCTGGACTGAAAAAGAAAAACCATTTACCCTCCTTTTCAAACTAGAGAATAAAGATTTGGTTTTAGAACAGTGGCTGGCTGTGTTCCTTTCTGTGGGAGCTGTGGTGACAGGGGAAGGAGCATCACTCTGTTTCCAGAGAAGAGGTCAGGCTCTGGGGGCTTTGCCAGCAGCTGAGTGCCTTATACTCTCCTCCCGGTCCTTGCTGGAGGCAGAGCTAGACATTCCTGAGCTTGAGCACATTCAGGTGTGTGCAGAAGCACCGGAGAACAAACATGCTTACTTTGGAATCAAGGTCTCGGAATGATGGACCCATGACTGCCAACCTTCATGTCACCTCACTGAGAGCTTCCTTGGAAGGACGGTGAACCTTGCATACTGCGGTCACATCTGCAGCTTTGTCAGGTTGTTGTCATGAAAAAAGGAGTCTCTGGGAAAAGGGGTGTTCTGAGCAGCAAAGATAGCTTTCAGCTAACACCCCTACACTGATTACAGATCCACACGTGAGCTCGGCCTTCTCTGGGGTCAGCTCAAAGTCAGCAGGTTCCCTAAGGGGGAAAGGGGCTCCCTGGAAGGTTTGCTGCAGGCCCATCATGGATAGTTTCACACACAGCTGAGTGCTGCTCTTGTTGGGTATCCATAGGCCCTCTGCCTGTGAGCTGCATCAGTCCCTACAGAGTGGTGCATAAAAATAACTAACCTTTGGGGAATGCACTTTGCTAAGAAGTTCTACCAGATCCTGCTGATGGGCTGCTCTGGATTCTCTTCTCCCTTTAAGTTCATGCAAACACTTGCGCATGATCCTGTAATGCTGATTACTAGAGGCTGACTGAGACTCATCTGTCTGCTCCTGCCCCCTTTTCTCTTAGAGATGTATATGTGTATGTATTCGCCTTCATGTATGTCTGTGTACATGTGTGTGGAGGCTAGACCAGAAGAGGGGATTAGACCTTCTAGAACTGGAGTTATGAGACAGTTGTGAGCCACTGTGTGAGCTCTAGGAACCAACCCAAGTCTTCTCCAAGAGCAGCAAGTGCTCTTAGTCAGCCAGCTCCCCAGCTCCCCTCTCACTCTTGGGTTCCACTACATATCAAAAAGAGTAAATTTGTGTGCTGCTTTTGGTTACATAATATTGAGGCTGGGGAGATGGCTCGGTTTGTAGAACATATTCCTTTCAAGCCTGAGGACCGACCGGAGTTTGGCTCCCAGGGGCCATGTGAAAAGCTGAGTATGGTGGCTCGCAGTTGTAATCCCACAGGTAGTGCAATCTTGCTGGTCACCTCAGCCTAGGCTACTTGATGAAGTTCCAGGCCAATTAGAGACCCTGTCTTGAGAAGACAGCACGTGCCTGAGGTACCTGCTGTGATCCTCTGGCCTTCACATGCATTCCCCATACACATACACACACTTTATAATGCAGACTCTCCTTGTGTGTGTATATATGTATGTGTATCAACACATATGTAGTTTTGTTTTGAGACAGGATATAACATAGCTCCAGGCTGGCCTTGAACTCACTATGTAAGGCAGGCTGGCCTTGAACTACTGATCCTCTGGACTTTACCTCCCAAGCACTGGGGTTCCAAGCAAGCACCACCACATGTAACCTCTCTTTATGTGCTTTATATATCCTTCTTGGCCCCTCTTTCTCTTCATACCTGAAGCTCAAAGGATTTTCTCCCAGCCATTTCTTTTTTGTGCATTTTCAGCTGCCCTGTTTTGACTTGGTGGGAAATACTCCCAGATGTGCTTCAATCTTTCAACAGCCTTGGTCCTGGAGTGTCACACACAGCGGAGACAGTCTGCCACTCTAGAGTGGCATTGCTTGCTGTTCCAGGGCCACAGTAGCTGGTGGAAGATTTGGAACTAGAATGCTGCTCAGAGAGGAATGAAAATCCAGAAAGATATACAAGCAGGTGGAACATTATTCATCTGTTTCACAGACAAATACGTCAAGGTCCAGAAACAGAAAAGTCTCTTTCGTAATTACTGCACGTGAAGTTAGGGGAAAATGGGTAGAGATTCCACCCGTTCCCATTATGCTTGAGAGCTGGACAGCAGCTGGGCTTAGAGCAAGCCCGGATTGATCAGCTGCAGATTGGTTCCATGGTAGGGGTCGTAGCAAGTCAGCCATCTTGGTTCCAAATGCACCTTCAAAGTAGCTCTGGAGAGAAAATGCAGTTTCTCTCCAGTTGACCCTACCGTGGTTCCTAAGCCTGGAGTGAGAGAATTTACCCAACTTTGACCCAACTAAAGGCAGGAGTGGGAGGAATTCTTTCAGATGGATGGAAGTGGTTGGAGATGAAAACACTTCCCTGGAGGTGTTTGGAAACAGTCACCTTCCTTGGCGGTCTGGACCGGGTTAGCAGCTTGAAGATATTTCACTCAACTGAACCCTAGACTGCAGTGAAACCTGTTGCGGTGAAGTAACCTCTTCAGACCTGTTTCCTCAGCCGGAAAAAGCTCTCGAATGCAACGATTTCCAAGGCCACTCCCAGACAGCACCAAACATCATTTATCATGACTGTGGTCTGCTGAGGTGCTGAAGATGGCTCATTGCATACTCATGAGGTACAAGAGAGCTGCAATGTTTAACAGGCGGGCGTGGGCAGTGTCACCTGAACACAGCTTTCAGGGAATAAAGAAAAAGGCCACACTAAAATGGACATACTCTCGAGAGGGCTCCTAACAGTGGTGGTCCGCGACGGCTTCCCAGCACGGACCCCAGTAGCACCTCGAGAATACTAGCTATTGCCAGACCCCGCACCTATGTTAGGAGTTCAGATGTCAACACGCGCTTGTGCGGGAGGCAGAGCACGCAAAGGCGGGCAGATCCAAGGCACCTGGTGGACAGGGGAGAACGACGTAATGTCGCCCAGCACAGGACGCCGCTGGAGACCACCGTTCTCATCCCAGCAGGGCTCAGCGCACAGATTCACCGCTCAGGGATGCTCGTCCGCGGGCGAGGTCAGACCCTGGCTATTGGCTCCGGAGAACAAAGGGGCCGCCCCGCGGGCTGCTCCGATAGGGCCGGGAGTGTCATCTGAGCCGCACAGCCAATCCGCAGACAGGGCTATTCAGGGCGGCCAGCCAATCACGGACGCCTGCCCGCCCCGCCTGCCCCGGGACTGGCCGTGGCCGGGAGCCCGGTACCCAAGTCGCCCCTTGGGTAGCAGTTCCCGTTAACCTTAGCTACAAAGTCAAAGGTATTTATTTCCCAGCCCCCCACCCCCATCCCTAGTCCTTGTGCATTCCGGGCAGGAGGGCCGGTGCAGGGATGGACCAGCGCCCGGTCGCTGCTCCGGTGCTGCTCTGCTGTCCCGGGCTGTAGAGGAAGGATGATGGGTCCGGGGCCTTGAGGTGCTCCGAGTCCCGCGCGCACCTCAGCTCCAGGCCCCAACTTTCTGCACCACCAGCACCCTGCCTAGCGCAGCGGGGAGAGACCTGAGGCTGGCTGGGAGGGCGGCAGGCCAGGGCAGCGAGGTCAAGGGGTAGGACCGTTGGGGAGCGGGGAGTCTACGCGCGGCCCCTCTGGTTGTTCCGAGTTCTCTGTCTGTCCACCCCACCCCCACCCCCGCGTAGACGCGCTTCTGGAGACAGGAACCCCAGTGTTGGTTACAGAAAGACTCAGTAGGTGATCCCTAAGTGAGCGATTCCGTGACCTGGGATGAGGATGGAGGCGAGAGAAAAACACACAGAAGTTACAGCTGTGTGAGCGTGTTCGGGGGAGGGGGTTCCCGGGACTATTCAAGTAAAAGGATTGCAGCAGCTCCAGTGGGTGTGGTGTCCGGCGACCTAGAGTCCGGAATGGTCTCCAGCTGCAGCGGAGGCTGGGTGTGGTCACCTGAGGTTGGAGGCAAGTGACAATCCAGGCCCCGCCTTTTTGTTTGTTCGGTTTTGTTTTTTACCTGTGTTAAGCAATTGCATGAAAACATTCCATAGCATTTGTGTCCTGTCAGTTCCAAGGTTCCATGATTCTGTGCTTCTACCAATCAGTTGTGGCTGACGAACTGACATTTATTTAAGTGAGCCCTCATAACCGTGTTTTGTAATGGTCTACAAGGCTGGGCCTGGATATTAGGATGTGTTTGATCTTCGGTGATAACAGAAAACTCTGATGATGACAGTTACCCTGAGTACTTGTTTGGATAACACAGAAACATTAGCTTGTGTCTCCAAAAGGTGTCTGTCTCTGGCAAAGTGACCCCTGATTTGGGCCGGAAAGGGGTATGGGCAAGGTCACTGCAAGACAGGTCAGAGGTTGCAGGTGGGTGAGGAGACAAGAAATCTGGGTATTGGGTGATAACATACATGGGGCAATGGGGAAAGGTAACCAGAGACTTTTTTGAATGACCTTGCCAAGATGTTTTGGTTAAATCTCCAAGTGTCTGGGAGCCCTTGAAGTATGTTAAGGGAGAAAAATGTCCAAATTGCAGTTTTAGAAACTTATTTGGGTTTTGGGTGGCAGATGGATTGGAGGGACCTAGAAAATCAGTAAAACTTTCAGATTTTATTTATTTTGTGTGTGTGGGAGGGAGGGAGGGAGAGGGAGGGAGGGAGGGAGGGAGGGAGGGAGGGAGGGAGGGAGGGGGAGAGAGAGAGAGAGAGAGAGAGAGAGAGAGAGAGAGAGAGAGAGAGAGAGAGAGTGTTTTGGGAGTTGGCGCTCACACTCTACCACGTGGATCACATGGGTTCTGGGTATCAAACTTAGGTCAACAAGTTTACATGTCAAGCACTTTTACCCAGTAAGCCAGTGGTTCTCACCCTTCTTAAGGATGCAACCCTTTAATACAGTTCCTCATGTGGTGACCCCAACCATAAACTGTTTTGAAGTTACTACTTCATAACTGTGATTTTGCTACTGTTAGAATTGGACTATAAGTATCTGTGTTTTCTCATGGTCTTAGGCGACCCACAGGTTGAGACCTGATGCACTAAGTGCTCTCACTGACTTTTAAAAGTCATTTAGGTGAGAAACATTGAGAACTGAACTCAGAATTGGTGACAGATGGCCCGGGGTGGGTTCCTGATTCCCGTTCTAGGTGTGACGTGGACGCCTGGAAGAACTTTGCCAGCCTTTGGTGTGGGCTCAAGGGAGAAACTTGGGCTGATGATTTAGACTTGGGGTAACTGAGCTCACCCAAAGTGGGTAGAGGGGAAAGGATCTGCTGCTTCCATGCGGGCTAGGCCCGGGAGGAGCTCACACTGCACGGACTGCTGGGCACAGTCTAGTCACATGTCCCATAAAGCAATTCAGGGCTTCCTCCCTCCCTAAGTTCTGTTTCTTGGAATGAACGTATGTTAATATGGCTCTGGGTATTCAAAGACTTTTTAAAAAATTTTTTTAAAGATAGGGTTTTATGTAACCCAGGCTAGTGTGGAACCTGAAATGTAGCTTAGGCTGGTCTTGAACTCCTGGGGTTCCTGTTTACTGAAAGCTTGGATTACATGAAGGTCCCACTACATTCAATTTGAGAAGACTTTATCATGATTGCTTTCGTTTCTGTTGTCACAAGTGGACCATGTAGTGATTCGTGTTGATGTGCCTCACATCGGCATGCCTGTATGATGCTGGAAATGCATCTTTTTAAAAAGACTTAGTTTTGCTTTATGTGTCCGGGTGCTTTGCCTGTGTGTATCTCTATGCACCACATACATGCAGGCAGACCAGAGCGGGAGTCAGATCTCCTGGAACTGGAGTTACACACCGATGTCAGTCATCATGTGGGTGCTGGGAACAGAACCCCATCCTCTGCAAGAGCGTCAAGTGCACTTAACTACCCAGTCACCTCTCCAGCCCCCATGCCTGCTTTAGGACACTTTCCTGTGTTTACAAGTCCGGTCCTCCAGTCCTCCACATGTCTGGGGGACACGCTGCAGTGTTGCCCGGCTCCCAGTGCGCGTTTGAAACTGCAGCTAATACTGGACTGCACTCAGTCTTTTCCCGCACATACATCTGATAGTCTACTTTACACACTAGACACAGAGAGAGGGTAAGATCAATAAATGTTACACTATAACGGTTATGACAGTGTGCTATAATAAATGTCATTCTTGGGTCTTGGGTCTCTCAAAAGGTCTTTTCTATTCTACCAGGTGAGGTTGGCCGTGGCTAACTGGCTCTGGAAAGCACACTGTGGGTGAAGGGGTTACTGTGCAGTGTGGCAGGTATCCGTTCTGTATCTTTGAACTTGTGTTTGCTCAGCTGGTGTGGATAGGGGGTATTGCTCGTGTGTGCACTTGGCTGTGTTTCTTAGCTTCCTGTTGGCCGTTGGTCTTGTTTGACTGAAATCCATTCCTAGGCAGAGTAAATGTGTTGGTGGTGACAAGGAGTGTCTGCTTTAAGTCTTCACCTTAACTACCCAGTTCAGTGTGTGTGGGCCCTTTTGTGTCAGGGCTCCAGCAGGGCAAGGCTCTGCCCTCCTAGATCTCACCCCCCAGGAAGACAGCAGTGGCCTTGGCTGTCAGTCACAGTGGGACAAGCACGTGTGGCCTTTGAGCACTTGCATGTGACCAGCATGCTTGAGAAACTGAATTTTAAGTTAATTTATTTGAATTTAAGGATGCTTGTTGTTGTATCTGTTAATGGTTTGTGTATTTTTATTTTATGGGCATTGGTGTTTCGCCTGCCTGTATATCTGTGTGAGGGTGTCAGATCCCCTGGAACTAAAGTTACAGGCAGTGTGAGCTGCCATGTGGGTGCTGGAAATTGAACCCTGGTCCTCTGGAAGTGCAGCTAGTGCTCTTAACCTAGGAACCATCTTTCCAGCTCCTCTGAATTTAAATAACCACATCTGGGCATAGAAGGCAAACTCCTGAAAATGAGGGACTGCGAGTTTAGGGTTGTCTTTGCTGCTGGTGCCTTCCAGGTAAGTCTCATACCTTCTCTTGGAGGCTACATGGTTTTGGAGAGTGCTCCATCTAACCCCCATCTATCCTGATGCCACCATTTACATGACCCCAGGTAGGATTTCCTTAGCTAAAGGACAGTGTGGGCTTTGCTTGATGAGTGCTTGATACTTGTCAGTTTTTAGCAGCTGGTGACATCTCCTTGTTCGTGTTGATAGCTCTTCTCTCTTTCCCCAGGTCACTGTCAAGGAAGCCCGTGACCCCATCCTCAGATCCCTGTGGGCTTGGGTGATGCACATCCTTTTCTCCAGGGGAGAGCTAAGAACCTCCTTGGCACAGAGGTACAGATGTTACCCTCACCTGTCCCTCTGCAGATGCTGTCCCCGCTTTCTGGCAATTCCCTGGGGAGGCTGGCAAGCAGGGAAGGCAGGCAGAAGGATGATGTCACTGGTGGGTGCCCTGAGGACAGGCGGGGTCAGTGAGGGCTGGGAAAGATGTGTTTGCTAGAAAGGAAAGTGGGGGAGAGGACAGTGGCCAGGTGGGGAGGGCCCTGAGGCGGGCTGTCTCCTGCCTGGGTCTCCCGGGAAGGTAAAGTGTCCTTGGTGTAGATGAGAGCTCAACAGGATTGGGACCTCGTGGGACCCCTGGGCTGAGAAAAGCCAGTGGCCGGGCTTTTGTCATCGGAAGACCTGCTCTACTGATGATGAGATACGAAGTACCGTCCACTTCTCACTTCCATTCCCGGGAGGGGCCTGCATTGTGGGAGGGGTGAGTGGGGAGACCTGGACAGGCCCCTGAGTTGCTTGTCTCTGTCACTGGACCTCACCTCATTTCCTCATCTTCACCCCGTGCACTTCGGTCTGTGCTGACACCCAAGTCCTTTGTTATCCCCCGTGTCCCAGCCCTCACCGCCTGCTGCAGACCACAGTCCTCTCTTGGTGTCTCTGCAGATGGCAGAGCAGCTGATGGCTGGGGACTTCCCATCAGGGGACTTCACAGCCAAACCGTGGTCAGAGGCCTTATCTTGTGTATGTCCTGTCCTCGTAGTTCTCGTGGTGATGGAAAGAAGGGAGGGTCAAGACTGAGGTTCAGGCCCCCCGTGATAGGCCAGCCTGTCTTCCTGTCTCGCGAGGCTGTATAGGAAGTAGTGGGGGGGTGCACCTGCCCCTTAGCTCCGATGTCTTGCTAGGGTGTTCAGGTGGAAAGCCCGCTGCTCACTTGCTTCCTGGGTGTCTCTCCTGTCAGCTGACTGGTGTGTCAGGTGGGTTATGGGGAGGGATGATGTAAATGGCACAGCAGAGTGATAGGTGGAGTGAGAGACACACTGGAGGGTGTGGCATGGACGCATGGAGGACTTGAGTGTCCGTGTATGGCCTACCCTGGGCTTGCCTTGCCTAGCCTGTGTTCTGCAGACATGTAACACCTGAGCATACAGGAAGTAGGTCTCAAAAGACATGGCCTGCCGCCACGTATCTCTGTCTTTTCTCTATCCCCTATTCTCTCTCCTCATCCCTTTGGGCCTGTGTGGGTCTCCTTCCTTCTTTTCCCATGTCTGTTCCTGCTGAGACCCCAGCAGAGTTGCCCTTCTGGCCTGGTGTGGCCTGGTGGTGCTCAGGCTGGGTCACCAGGAACCAAAACCCTTCCGGTTCCACTTTTGAAACAGTTCTTAGAAGCCAGAGTGGGTGAAGTGGTGCTCTGGCTGGGTAGTTTAGGGGTGCTCTGACTGGGTGGTTTAGGGGTGCTCTAACTGGGTAGTTTAGGGGTTCTCTGACTGGGCGGATTAGGGGTGCTCTGACTGGGCAGTTTAGGGGTGCTCTGACTGGGTAGTTTAGGGGTGTTCTGACTGGGCAGTTTAGGGGTGCTCTGACTGGGTAGTTTAGGGGTGCTCTGACTGGGCAGTTTAGGGGTGCTCTGACTGGGCAGTTTAGGGGTGTTCTGACTGGGCAGTTTAGGGGTGCTCTGACTGGGTAGTTTAGGGGTGTTCTGACTGGGCAGTTTAGGGGTGCTCTGACTGGGTGGTTTAGGGGTGCTCTGACTGGGTGGTTTAGGGTCTCTCTGGTGTGGTGTAGGCTGAATCCTGACCCTCTAGCTCTGTTCTGCATTCCAGGCCCGCACTCTCTCAGTCTGGCCAGGTGACCTCCGTTTATGGTCCTCTAGTCCTCTTGAGGTGGTCTCCAAGGTGTGGGATGCAGAAACTCACATACATAAATAGAGGGACCTGGAGGTAGTGGGTGGTGGGCAAGAGGGAGCTCCAGTCCCCAGATGTCCCTCAGGTAGGGCTGGCCTTCAGCTTCCTGCCGCTCCCTCCTCTCTGGCACCAGTGGGTTCCAGTGCCTACGAGAAAATGCAGTGAGAGTGCTTCCCAGACCCCCATGCGGAAACGGAACTGCAAACAAAACCTGCTGCCTCCATAGAAGAGTTCCCACGGGGTAAAGGAGAAAGAAAGTTCCTTTTTCCCCCCAATGGATAAATATTAGTACGAATGGTAACTTGGCCAGACAGTGGAACTCAAGCACCAGATGTAGCCTGGGAAGATGCCTCCCACTGCACAATCATGTTCTCACAAAAACCATGGCAGGTCGTCAGGCAGGAGGATGTCACATGTCACATGCAGCTCATTATGAGTCCACCTGGTCGTTGGGGTGACTATCTGTTAGGTAATTGCCTTTATCCAAATTAAAAATAAGCATCATATTTTTTTCCTCAGTATCAGAGCTTTATTAGGAGCGGGGTGGGGGTGGGGGTGGGGCCCAGGGGCACTCGGGCAGAAGAGAGTGACCAGACCTGTGAAAGACATGAGCAGGGAGGTGGTGGGGAGGAGAGAGCAGAAGGTCAACATCGTATTTTTATGACAGAAAAAAAAAGTTTGCTGCCCAGGTGCTGGCCTGCTGGAGGGAGGCATCCAAGTCTCTTGAGGAGAGAGGCCTCTGGCTTCCTGCCTGCTTTATCTCCAGTGGATGGCTCCCGACGCTTGAAGAAGTCAGTGGGTTGTCAAGTTTATTTAGAGGCTTATTTAGTTTTGAAAAGATTTACATTTGTTTAGAGAGGACAGAGCCAGAGCTTAGCAACTAGAAATTTCTAAAGAAGATGCTCGAAGAAAAGGAAATATTTCCTCCCTGCCTTGCATCTGGGGTTTGCATTTCTAGTCAGGGCTCTGATTTCTAGTCTGGGGAAGCACCCCCAGGACAAACTCAGGAAGGTGGCCTGAGGGACGTCATACTGAGGGCTGGTCTCTAGGGCCCAGAGTTGGTTCTCTAGTGCAGATAACAAAGCAAACAAAGGTACCAAGATGTTGCTAGAGTTTTCCTGCCTGGCCCACAGTCAGGGCAAATCTCTCTCACCCGCCAGTCCCAAGCCGCTCAAACCCGACCAAGTAAACACAGAGACTTATATTGGTTACAAACTGTATGGCCGTGGCAGGCTTCTTGTTAACTGTTCTTACAGCTTAAATTAATCCATTTCTATTAATCTATACCTTGCCACGTGGCTTGTGGCTTACCGGTACTTTACATCTTCCTTGTCCTGATGGCGGCTGGCAGTGTCTCCTCCTCCAGCTTCCTGTTCTCTCAATTTTTCTCTCTGTTAGTCCCGCCTATACTTCCTGCCTGGCCACTGCCAATCAGTGATTTATTCATTGACCAATCAGCAACACATTTGACATACAGACCATCCCACAGCACCAAGAAGTCCCTGTCTGGGGCTGGGTGAAACCAGCTTTGAATTTCTATAGGGCAGCCAGCCACAAAGTCCTGGTTGTGCTAAGGGGGAATTGTTGGGTGAAGCTGGACCCCAACCTTAAGAGAGACAGTCACACCAATGTGGTGGATAGCACCAGCCCACCTGTGAGCCACAGCTCAAAGCCAGGCAGCATGTTTGGGAATACACAGAGCCTGTCAGGTGGTAAAACACGTTGGAGGTGAGCTGGGGAATGTAGCTCAGTTGGTAGAGTGGATGCAGAGCATGCTGGGAGCCTTGAGTTCTATCCATCCCTAGACCGCATCGAAAGCCAGGCCTGGTGGCACAGGTCTGTAACGGTGGCACTAGGGAGATGGGAGTTGGAGGCTGTAAACTGAAGGTCATCCTTGAGTACATGACAAGCAAGGCCAGCCTGGCCTACACAGGACAGTGCCTCACACTCTCCTAAACTTCGGGGATGGAAAAGAACAGTGAGGGGTCCCGGGGCAAGCCAGCCGCTCTGGTAAGGTGATGCGTAAGCAGAAGGAAGGAAGAGTGAGGTGGGCAGGGATTGTGGGGATGAACAGAGCAGAGGGCGTCAAAGCCTGGGCCATCCAAGCAGCTGTGTGGCCGGTCTCAGGCCGTACCCCGGCCATAAAGGGGAGCAGTTGGAGATGTTCAAAAGATGATTGTAAAATAAGATTGAGGAATGCTAGATCGTGAACTAGGGAGTGGTCAGCCTGCGTGTTCTCGGTGGTGGTGGTGGTGGTGATGGTGGTGGTGATGGTGGTGGTGATGATGGTGGTGGTGGTGGTGGTGGTGATGGTGGTGATGGTGGTGGTGGTGGTGATGGTGGTGGTGGTGGTGGTGGTGGTGGTGATGATGGTGGTGGTGATGGTGGTGATGGTGATGATGGTGGTGGTGGTGGTGGTGGTGGTGGTGGTGGTGATGATGGTAGTGGTGGTGGTGATGGTGGTGATGATGGTGGTGGTGGTGATGATGGTGGTGGTGATGATGGTGGTGGTGATGGTGGTGATGGTGGTGATGATGGTGGTGGTGGTGATGATGGTGGTGGTGGTGGTGGTGATGGTGGTGGTGATGGTGGTGGTGGTGATGGTGGTGATGGTGATGATGGTGGTGGTGGTGATGGTGGTGGTGATGATGGTGGTGGTGGTAGTGGTGATGGTGGTGGTGATGATGGTGGTGGTGGTGATGGTGGTGGTGATGATGGTGGTGGTGGTGGTGATGGTGGTGATGATGGTGGTGATGGTGGTGGTGGTGGTGGTGGTAGTGGTGGTGATGGTGGTGGTGATGATGGTGGTGATGGTGATGATGGTGGTGATGGTGGTGGTGGTGGTGGTGGTGGAGGAGGCGGCGGCGACAGCAGCTGTGAGATGTCATGGAGGAGTTTGTTCTAGGATATTGGAAGAGTTTTCCACTGACGTAGGGAATGTGGGAGATGGTCTGCCTTCCTGGTGTTGTTTTAGTTTTGGTGATAGTGTTGGGATGGAATTCCAGGCCTTGCACATGCTAGGCAAGCACTCTGCCACAGTCACATCCCCAGCCCCTCCAGGTGTCTTCTTGAACAGGTTCCCCCATATCTAACCTTACCTGGGGTACCTGGCTCTCGGGTGCCATGCCCTTCATATGCCCTCTATTCATGCTGAGGGTATGGACTCTGAGGCTTTGGTGTGGGAGTTATGGAATTTGCACACATTCAGCTGTGTAGCCATCCCTGTGTCTCTGGGCACATCAAGGCCTCTCTCAGGCCCAGTTTCCTCTTTGTCCGTGAGAATTGTGCCCGCTTCCCTTCCCATCTGCACATTTCACCTGAGGGAGCCGATAGAACTCTGAAAAAAAGCATGGGCTGTGAGACGGGAGAGCACTGGCTGGGAAAATGGGTTTTGACTGTGCCACAGACCATTCTTTCTCTTTTCTTCCATCTTCCCCCAGGGGGCAGGGCTGAGACCTCAGCAGCACTGATGCAGGGGGAGGTCTGCAGGGATGGAGAGCATCCTCGTTGCCAATGGCTCAGGTAAGAGAAGTCAGCCTCCCCCTCCCAAACCCTTACCCTCCTTGGAGCCAAATGTAAGTTGCCTCCCTCAACTAGTATCTTCTAGAATGTAGAATTTCAGTGTGGGGACCAGGACTTTGAAGGTCATCCAAAGAATAAAACAAAGATAGTAATGTTGGGAGCATAAAAAAGGCCAAGCCAGGCCTGTAGGGACACAGCAGGCCGGTAAAAAGCAGGGTGTTGTTTTCAGTGCTGGGACTGGGACTTGACGACGCCTTGCCAGTCAGACTTGGGGAGTGAGCTCTCTGGGTAGGGCGGTTGGCTAAGAGAAGCTGTTGTTCACTGACCATCAAGCCAGACTACTAGAGATCCCAGGGTCACGCAGAGTTCAGGGTCCTCATCATTCTGCAGGCTGCTGTGCTGACAGGCAGCAGGCAGTCTGGGGATTTCCCAGGCCAATGCTTCCTGGAGTGGAAACATTTCCTGCCTGGCATTCTGTTTTAAGAATGGGGAGCAGTACCTGGAGGCCCGAGACTTTCATCACACTTGCGTGCCTTGGGGCAGGTTGAAGTTCAAGCACACTCCCTTCCTCAGTGGTAGGCCCGGCAGGGGTCTGTGCTGGGTCCAGATTCCTCTATACTCTGAAGCAGGCAGCTGGAGAAGAGCTCTGTCCAGGGTCATCTTTCTGGTTGGATGTCATCTAAGCTTAACTAGATAAGGCATTAAACACGGGGTCCTCTGGGTTATTTCAGTAGACACCATGTCAATCAGGGACAGTGATCTCTTCTCGTTGAATAAACCTCAGACTCACTGCCAGATTAGATACTTGGCACCAAATACTTCCTTTGCCCGGATTTCAGCGCAGGTCAGGGGAGAGTTCTATAATCAATTTAACTCATTACACTTGAATATTCAGTTCCTGCCAATATAGAATTGAAGGCACTGCCCGCCTTCTTAAGCATGGCTTACTAAAATGAGTTCTCGTGACCAAGCACAGAGAAGACCAAAATTAATTTCGAACTGATTTTTATTAATGCTGTGCACCAGGAACCTATTGTATTTCCCCTGAAAGAAAATGTCTCAGTTACTCTTCTATTTCTGTGATGAAACACCATGACCAGGGCAACCTGTAAAAAAATCATTTAATTTGGCTTATGGTTTCAGAGGGTTAGAGTCCTTAATGGTGGGGCGAGGGACCAACTGAGGGTGCACATCATGACCCACAACCATCAGACAGACAGACAGACAGAGAGGAGAGCACACTGGAATGGCTCCAGGCTTTGGAAACCTCAAAGCCTGCCCCCAGTGGCACATCTCCTCCAGCAAGATCACACTTCCTTCTACTAACTGGGGACCAAGATTTCAACTCTATGACCCCCTTTGGAGGCCATTCTTTCAAACTACCAAAGAAGGACAGTTGGCACTAAGACCTTTGTCTCTTCAGTAAAGTTTAGTGGTTTTCTTTACAAACATTTTCTATGCTTTTTAAGGCACTCACAATTATAAATGACTGTTGTCCGTTTTTAAAAGTGATTGATTTTGTATGCTTTTGTGCCTGACAGTCTTGCTGAACCATAGTATCTCCATTTGTTAGTGGGTTCTGCGGTACACCTAAATTAATAGTCATAAGCACATGAGAGGATTTTTTTCCTCTTTCAAGTATCTTTGTGTTTTTCTCTTCTATCTTTGGCTGATTCCTCAGGGTTAAATAGTATCAGTGAGAATACGTGTCCTTACTGTGTTCTGAATACTGTCTTCTGTCCTTTGCTGCTGACTAGAAAGCTTGCTGTAGTGTTAGTATACACCTTTTGTCATCTTGAATTTCCTTATATCCCTAGTTTGCTAATGCCTTCCCTCCTCCCGAAATAATGACTGAAATTTTTTCACGTGACTTTTTCTGCATCTGTTGAAAATACTGTAAGGTAGACTTTTTTTTTTTTTTTTAAATATGCTGGAGAATCAATTACAGGCCTTGTGCTGCTAGGTAAGCACTCTACAACCCCAGCTGATATTTCACTTTTAATAAGATAATATCGAGCTGGGCAGTGGTGGCGCATGCCTTTAATCCCAGCACTCGGGAGGCAGAGCCAGGCAGATCTCTGTGAGTTCGAGGCCAGCCTGGGCTACAGAGTGAGATCCAGGACATGCTCCAAAGCTACACGGAGAAACCCTGTTTTGAAAAACAAAAAAACAAAACAAAAGATGATATCTAGAGTTATATCAAGCCATCTTTACCTTTTCTGGGGAAAAGTCCCGGCAAGGCTGTACCATTTCTAATTCTGCTGAACTTGCTTTGCAAATGTTTGTGTTTGAGGAGCAGTGAATCTGCCATTTCCTGCCTGTTCCCATTCTTGGATGCTTGTCTTGTAGATGCTCCCTGCCCCTCATTCTCTCCTCTCCCCCTTCCCTCTTCCCTCCTAGTTACTGACTAGTTCCAGAGCTGGGAATAAGCCTTTCTTATCAATTAAAAGACATTTTTATTTTTGATGCTGAGTGTGTGTCGTGAGTGTATGCTGTACATGTTCCCAAACTCCAGAAGAGAATGTCAGATCCCGAGAGCTAGAGTTACGGCTGGTTGTGAGTCACCCCACCTGGGTACTGAAGCCGAAGTCAGAGCAGGACATGCTCTTCAATACTGAGCCATCTCTCATACTTCCTTTGAATTTTTTATAGAGTATGTTGATACAGCTGTGTTGTTTATAACCCAATTTGGGCTAGAATTTAGCTTTCACATTAATCTCTTATAAGCATATATATAATCAGTTTTAAACCTGCTCTGATTTAAAATCATTTTAAAATGTGTTTTTATTTTTAAATTATTTATTTATTTATTTTTTAAATGGTCTCTTTAGGGAGCTTATGTAGCTCTGGTTGTCCTGGAACTTACTATGTAGGCGAGGCTAGCCTCAAACTCACAGAGCTCTGCCTCCTTCTGCCTCCCAAGTGTTGGGATTAAAGGAGTACACTGCTATGCTAGGCCATTTTTATTTTTATGTGTATGCATATTTTGCCTGCATGTGTCTGTGCACCACATGCATGCATTACCCATGGAGGCCAGAAGGGGGCGCCATTACAGGAGGTTTATGAGCCGCCTTGTGGGCACTGGGAACTGAACCCTGGTCCTCTGGAAGAGCAACCAGTGCTCTTAACCACTGAGCCATCTCTCCAGTCCTTTTAACCTGCTCTTGAATTCATTTTAATTTATATTTTCTTGTAATATTATTTACTTTATATTTATGGATTTAGTGATATAAAGGCTATTCATGATATTTTAGTATTGTTGGAATCCTTTTGTACTTTTCGAGACTTTATTTTTAACTTTATTAATCTTTTTTTCTACTTCTTGAATGTGTTGCTTTGCTGATGCTGAAATCTGTTGTTTGCAGATCTTCTTGGCTCATGACTGCTTCGTACTGCCTCTTTTTATCAGGTGTGAGCTTCTTACTGAAGCATAGCACACAAAGGAAGGTGCACACGTTACAAGCTCATAAATTCTTACAAAGCAGCCCACCTTTGTAACCAGGACCTGCATCAAAGAAGAACACAGATAGGACCTCAGAGCCTGTTCCTCTGTGATGGGCCATGATCTAACTCACAGTAGTTTTTTTTTTTTTTTTTACCAGATTTGATGTTTACATAAGTGAATCGCATCTATACTCTGCCCTTTCTAAAGCAGTCTTCGCTATGGCTTCTTACCACCGGGAGCCTGGGTGTAAGCTGTGGGCTGGTCGCTGCTTCCCTGAGCTTTAGTGCAGTGGTTCTCAACCCCTGAGTTGTGATCCCTTTGGGGGTGAATGACGCTTTCACAGGGGTTGCATATCAGATATTTACATTAAGATTCATAACAGTAGCAAAATTACAGGTGTGAAGTAACAATAAAATAATTTTATGGTTGGGGGTCATCAAAACATGAGGAACTGTTTAAAGGGTGGCAGCATTAGGAAGGTTGAGAACCACTGCTCTAATGGATTACCTTCACTAAAAGGGCATGGAATACCTTTTCCCATGCTGAGCCTTTGGGGCCTACCTCCTCATTCATAGTTTTGTGAGAGAAAGGTGGAGGTCCTTCCAGTGGGGTGTTCCTGCTCCATAGCCCTGCCAGTGGAGACAAAGGGTCAGTGACTCAGGGTGTGGTAGCCCTAACCACTGAGGGACTGGGCATGCCTAGAAAGCTCCCGGTGTCCATGCTAGAAAAAGAACAGCAAGTTTTAGTTTGGTGAGATGGCTCAGCAGACGATATTACAGGGCAGGGGATGCTCTTACAGGGCATGGGATGCTCTTACAGGTCAGGGGATGCTCTAACAGGGCAGGGGATGCTCTTACAGGTCAGGGGATGCTCTTACAGGGCAGGGGATGCTCTAACAGGGCAGGAGATGCTCTTACAGGGCAGGAGATGCTCTTACAGGGCAGGAGATGCTCTTACAGGGCAGGAGATGCTCTTACAGGGCAGGGGATGCTCTTACAGGGCAGGGGATGCTCTAACAGGGCAGGGGATGCTCTTACAGGGCAGGGGGTGCTCTTACAGGGCAGGGGATGCTCTTACAGGTCAGGGGATGCTCTTACAGGGCAGGGGATGCTCTTACAGGTCAGGGGATGCTCTTACAGGGCAGGGGATGCTCTTACAGGGCAAGCCTGACAGCCCAAGTTCAACTCCCAAAACCTACATGAAAATGGAAGTTGTCCTTGGACCTCCACATATCGACCTTGCATCTGCCTATCCACACAAACACACACATGTGCACACACATGTATACACACAGAGTCACTTTTAAAAAACAATGGTAATTTTGAACATTGGCCATTGTCTTTCTCCCTGGCTCAGGAAGCGTCACTGCCTGGGTTCTTTAACATCTCTGCATCCGCTGGACCTTGGGTAGGGAAGGCAGGACAGCTCAAGCACGAGGGACCCCATGGTCTTGGCAAGCCAGCCGCGTACTTGATTTTACTCTTCTGTGGGCTTTCTCCACTCTTCACCTTCTGCCTGCCGGTCTAGGTCCTTCAAGTCTTCCCTGCCCTCATTCTTTCTTATCCATGTTCTTCCCTCCATTGAAAATGGTTTTGCCTTCACTCTCTCAGCCGTCCCCACGCTTCCCCGCACCTCTTCCTCTCTACGCTCTCTGCATCCCACAGTGATGTCTTCTGACTTCTCCCTTTGCCTCCGTAGGAGATGGGCTGGCAGGGATCAAGCAGGAGAAGCCAGAGCGGCTGCTGCAGACTGTGGTGTCTCAGGCCGCGCTTCCGGAGAAGGACAAGGAAAACATATTTCAGCAGCAGGGCGTCCTCCCACCGTGCCAGACCGTGGGGCGGCCCTGGGCTCTGGGATCACAGGAGGAGGTTGGAGGTGCATGGTGGGTCCCACCTCCTGAGCAGGATGCACGGCTGGCTACTCGAGTCCCGGGGACAGCCCCAGGCCCGCTGAGCCCCGCACTTTCTGCGGGTGGGGGTCACTTCGTGTGTGTGGATTGTGGGAAAAGGTTCAGCTGGTGGTCATCCCTGAAGATCCACCAGCGCACACACACGGGCGAGAAGCCTTACCTCTGCAGCAAGTGTGGCAAGAGCTTCAGCCAGAAGCCTAACCTAGAGCGCCATCAGCGCCACCACACTGGCGAGAGGCCCTTCTGCTGCCCAGAGTGCACAAGACGCTTCAGTCAGAAGCAACACCTGCTCAAGCACCAGAAGACGCACTCTCGACCCGCCACCCACGCGTGTCCAGAATGCGAGCGCTGCTTCCGGCACCAAGTGGGCCTCCGCATCCATCAGCGAGCGCATGCCCGGGACCGCCTGGGTGCCCGTGTCAGCTTGCAGGAGATGCTCCGGTATGCTGCTGTGCGCCGCCGGGCCTGCCGCCTGCGCCCTGGATCCCCACGCGGGCGCCCCGAGTGGGTCTGGCTGGGGCTCTGCCAGGGCTGGTGGGGCCAGCATGGGGTACGGACAGCAGCCCATGGCCGCTTAGGTCCCAGTGAGCAGCGCCAGTTCATCTGTAATGAGTGCGGTAAGAGCTTCACGTGGTGGTCATCCCTGAATATCCATCAGCGCATCCATACAGGCGAGCGGCCCTACGCATGCCCTGAATGCGGCCGCCGCTTCAGCCAGAAGCCCAACCTGACAAGGCACCTGCGCAACCACACAGGTGAGCGGCCGCACCCATGCTCGCACTGTGGCCGCAGCTTCCGCCAAAAGCAGCACCTGCTCAAGCACTTGCGCACACACCTGCCTGGTGCCCAGTCTGCAAGGTGCACCAGCTGTGGACAGAACTACCCCAGCCGTGCGGCACTGCGGGCCCACCAGCGAGTACATGCCACGGCAGAGCTGCTGCGTTCGCGGTCTGCAGTCCAGGGTGGTGTGCCTGGTTCAGAGCCACAAGCTGAGATTGCCCGGAGTGTGGCTGTGAAGCCCCACGGTACCCAGGGTGTCAAAGAAGTGCTGTGTGGTCAGGGGTGCGAGACCCTGGCTGCACCCAGTGAGCAGCGCCAGTTCATCTGTAACGAGTGTGGCAAGAGCTTCTCATGGTGGTCAGCGCTCACCATCCACCAGCGCATCCACACTGGCGAGCGACCCTATGCGTGCCCAGACTGCGGCCGCTGTTTCAGCCAAAAGCCCAACCTCACACGACACCGGCGCAACCACACCGGTGAGAGACCCTACCTGTGCACTGCCTGTGGCCGTGGGTTCCGTCAAAAGCAGCATCTGCTGAAGCACCAGCGTGTGCATCGTGGAGCTCAGGCACCACACCCTCGCCCAGAGGAGGAAGAAGAGCCGTAGTGTGTGCCCCCCGTGCAGCTAATGGTGGTGGGTGGTAGAATGTGTGCCTACAGGATGTTATTTGGGGAACAGGAGGGCCAGGAATGCTGACTCTTGATGCTCCCCAAGTTAGAGTCTGTTGAAAGGTTCCTCAAGGTTCGGAGGCCTGAGGATGGTGTTCCAGAAGCCTGAAAAGTGCCTAGTCGGGGAGGTGAGATCAAAGCTCTGAGTGTCTGTGATGGGAATGTGTTCCTTAGTACACCATTCAGAATTGGCCCTCAGCCATAGGCACCTTGTGAAGGGCTCTTGGGGTCCCTAGGAAAGCCTCCTTGTGTGAAATGGCCTGGAACTGATCAGTGGTAGCACTGTCCTGTGACATAGGCTACACGATGGTTAGCGGGGTCATCCGCATGGGAAGATGGTCACAGGCTCCAGGATCCCAGCAATAGAGCAAAGGTTTTGGCTAGGAGGGGGTAATTATTTCCCCAGCACCAAGGACAGTGCCACCTGTGCCGTGTTGGATGATTTGATGGTCTCTCTCCAACTGTCGTGGTGCTAGGTAAGGCAGACCTTGCCATAGAACTGATGATGTGTATGATGACTAAGGGTTGGGGTACAGTCACATGGTTTCAGCTATAGCTTGGCTGCTCGGGAAAGTGGCTGTATGTGAGAGTGGGCCATCTGTTCCAAGTGTGTGGGTTTCTATGGCTGACTTGGGTCCGTACCCATACTGGTGTTGGAGAAAAAATGAAGGACTGAATATTCCACGTGGTGTCGCTGTCCTTTCTGAATCATCCTTACTGGAGACCAGCTATGTGTGCTCCCTCGGATTCCGAGGGTGTTTGTGAGGGTTGCCTTTCATATGTGTCCTGCTCCAACCTGCTGCCCAGGCTGGAGGGTAGTTTTCTGTCTTCTGCTGTCCTTCAGGTCAGTTCCATGTGTCTTCCCACATACTGATTCTCTGTCCCCTCCTCATCCCTCTGAGGTCACCTCTCCTCCCCCGTAAAGCAGGGGAGCTGATGTCCTGGTGTTGACAGAAGCCAGGGCTCCAGCTCAGGCTTTAGCCTTGGATGTGTTCTTCCCCAAAGATGAGTTCCATGGCTGGAGGCAGGAGGAAGGTGGGCCAGTGAAGTTCCGGAGAAGGGAACTGCACTTGCTGGCCTCCTGGGGCCTCTATCTTCCTGAGGATGCCAAGCAGTGTTGAGTTCAGCCTGGCCTCTGGTCGAAGCCACTCTAGGTAAAAGAGTTTAACCTTTTGTTTGTTTGTTTTTGGTTTTTCGAGACAGGGTTTCTCTGTGTAGTTTTGGTGCCTGTCCTGGATCTTGCTCTGTAGCCCAGGCTGGCCTTGAACTCACAGAGATCCGCCTGGCTCTGCCTCCCGAATGCTGGGATTAAAGGCGTGCCCCACTGCTGCCCAGCAGAATTTAACCTCTTTTTTTGGAGATGCTTCAGTTGTTACAGAAGGCCACGGAAGGCTAAAGGCCAAACAAGCCCCCTGCAGCTGTTGCGCCTCTCCAAGGAGCACGTTGGCAAGGCAGCTTAGTGTTCAGCCTGGCCTGCTCTTTCTTGGTCAAGTTATTTGACCCTAAACTGGGTGAAGTTCTGCACTGGCTGAGGTGTGCTGATCAGCTCTGAGGACCAACAGGAAGCCAAGCCTGCAGAGTTTTCCCACCACCCCCTCCAACCCACACTGGGAATAGCTTCTCCTGCCACCCTGTGATGTCCTGTTCTTTCCTATCCCTTCCCAGGAGGTATTCAGGGTCCTGCATTATTCCATGCTTCTTCTTTGTCATCTAGCAAATCCTGGATCTGGCCTGGAAAGCTCACCTACTACTGAAAGGCATCCTAGAGTACCACCATTTGGGGCTAGAGCACCATTGCTTTCAGGGTAGGTCCTGCAGAAATACCGGCTCCCTATAGAATCAAGTGGCAGACACTGAAGAGATTAGATAGGCTCGGTCCTTCAACAGAACGGATTCTTTTCCACAAATGGCCTGTGATTAATTTCAAATCACAGTGGAGTGTGAGTAGGACTCAGGGTTAATGAGGCCTAATTGTAGCTCTTGCTTGTGCAAGTTGCAAGTTAAGAATGACTGTTCTCTTTTCCTGGGTGACGAGTCTCTCACAGGGTCCTAGGGCAGACAGGGTCAAATCTCCCAGAAGGCTAAATTACTGATTTATATGCATATCAACCAGATTGGGACTGCAAAGCATTGGCTCCTTAATGGATCTGTGTACTAGGCCTTGTGCTAGATGAGCAGAACATGGCCTCTGCCCTTGCTGAAGGACTTCCTGGGGAATCATTTTAATATGCTGTACACTGTCACAACCTGTATGCTCCACTCTTGAACAGATGGTTTTCAGCCCTGGCCCTGTTCATAAGACTTTCTTATTCATGATCTCATCTAATCCCATGTTGTCAGTGATGCAGGCTAAGCAGTGACATTGCCATTTGACATGAGGGAAAGGGGGGTTGGTAACTCAACTTGTCCACCAGGTCATGTTCTACACTGATGGCAGGTCCAGACCTTCTGTCAGCCAGAGGTCCCTTGTCACAACTATTGGCTTCTCTAAGGATAGCTCAGCGCTGGCAACTTCGGTTCTTCTCTTTCTTTGTAAAGTGGGTCAGAGACTATCAAAGAGGTGACATCAAATCAAAGACAAGGTCACACTTGTCCTAGTGGTTTACAATGTGGGGTGCTCAGCAGCATTGCAGAGAAGAAGGGGGTACGTGGGAGCCAGTCCATGAGAAAGGAAACCAGACCCCAAGCGTTCCTATCCTGTCCTCTGCCAGGTAAGTGAGTGCAAGCCTGCAGTGGCCCTGTAGCCAAGTTGCAAAAGGCTGCATCAGCTGGGTGGGGCTGGATCCTGGACCCCTTCTTGTCTTCTGTGAGGAGCAGGCTGAAGACTAAGACAGATAACCCGAGGTACATGAAGAGCAGCTGGCTTTAGGCAAACAAACAAACAAACCAAGTTCGACAGCAAAGGGGTCAGGCTCCTTGGGGGGGTTTGGAGTACACTGCCCAGGTTCATGGGTCAATCTGCCATGGGAAGCAGCTGTCCAGCAGGTGCACTAACCTGGAGAGAGAACAGATCCTTGCTGGGGCGGGGGTGGAAAAGCTGACAGAGTGAAGGGTACCTCTGAAACATGCTAACGTAGTCTGAATTTCATAAATATCTTTGACCTTTTGGTAGGAGGAGTATTGGAGCCAAAAATAGTATGTCACCATCATCCCGGATGAGACAAGGACAGTGAAGAGAGGGAAATTAGTAGAGTCTTAGGTTGTCCCTTTGGGGAAGGGATGGAATCTTCTGCGTCTCCAGGTTTGGGGAAGTGTCCTAGGTGATCTCTGTGCTACAGCACTTTCTGCAGTGATGAAATGTGTGTCGTCCAATATCATAGTCACTGGCCACATGTGGCTCTAAACACTTAAGCCTGGAGGCTGGGGATGTAGCTCATCGATTAGATGTCAGTGCTTCCCTACCATGCACAAAGCCCTGGGTTCTGTCCCCAGAACCCCATAGAATTAGCCACCATGGACACAGCTGTTAATCTCTGCACTTGGGAGGTGGAGGCAGGAGGATCTTGAGGATCAGAAGCTCAAGGTCATCCTTGTCTACATGGAAAGTTTGAGGCTAGCTTGGGCTACAGGAGACCCTTCTCAAAAACAAAAAACAAACATCCACACATGTATACCGATTGCTGAATTTTAACTTGAATTTTATATAACAGCTACATGGGGCAATAATGTACCCTAGTAATGATGATTCTATAGGCAAAAAGCTAGAAGCCTTGCCTTCTCCCACCCTTTCTCCACTCTTCCTTACCCACGGCTCAAATCTAGAAAAACGATGGGGTTTTGCTGTTGTTAATCAAGGATGGAGTTACAGCTGTGGGGCTGAAGCTTTGGGCCTTGGTGGGCGAAGAACAAGGAAAGCACTCACTAGGAGGTTGCCTTTATTATAATTCTAATAAGCTCCGTGTGTGGCTACTGGAAGAGTATGTGCACTGTGGAGAAAGAAGGAAAGAATTTTCCCTGTTGAGCTCAGTTTCTATGAGGAACTGTGTTCCTCAGTTTTTCTGTTGCTGTGAAAGTACCTGAGGACACCAAAGGCTGCAGTCCTGTCCTAAGGGTGTGCGTGGCTGGGTGTCAGTCCATGCAGTCCTGTCCTAAGGGTGTGGGTGGCTGGGTGTCAGTCCATGCAGTCCTGTCCTAAGGGTGTGCGTGGCTGGGTTTCAGTCCATGCTTTGCTGGCTCCATCTCTTTAGGCCTGAGGTGAGACAGAATATCATGTGGCAGTGTCTGGCAAAGGAGGGCTGCTCACCGAAAGGCAGCCAGGAAGCACAGAGACGGGGGGGCGGGTCATTTCTGGGCACCCCCTCCCACCCAAGGAAGAGCCTACTTCCTCCAACTAGGCGCCATCTCCAACATTGCAAAATCCTCCCAATACTGCCATCGCTGTCATTGTGTGAATCCATCAGTGGATTAATCTTTGAGCTCTGGAAGGGAGGGGCACATTGTATCTAAATGGTAGAATGGCCGGAATGAACCAGTTCCTCACATTCAGCAGATCTGCCATGTGTTTGTTTGGCTGAACCGATGTTTTTGGCCCTGTCTTGGATTTTAATTGTGAAGAAAGAACTTTGGAACAGATGACACCTCACAACTAGAGCCCTCCGTCTACATTCAGGCCTCTGCAGCCCCTCACACCCCTCTAACATGTAGCCAGATCAGTCGTTTTCCTCATTTTCACCTTGTCCCTATGGCTGCCCATGGAGACGTGAGATGTACCATGTAGACATGCATTATTCACTGAATAGACATTGAAAAAGACTCACAAATGCTGGACTCTTGCGGGAACACAAATGCTAAAAACACAGTCCCTGCTCTTGGAAATTCACAACCTGATGGGGACGACACAAGTGTGTCAAATTCCAAATTGAAATCAGCACCAGGCCTTTGGGTGAGAGAGAGACCATGGCCTGATATCTGGGGACAGAAAGTATATGAAATGGGAAGAGACAGTAGTGACTCGGCCGGAGTTCAGCCTTCGTCCCTGTCATTCCCTTCCTAGGGTTTTAAATGGCACCCCTGCCCCCCATTCCTGCCCACAGCCGTGTTTTCTTCCTCTGTACTTACACAGCTTACCTAGAAAATGCCACTGAGAGCATGGCACTGTCCTGCCATATAGTATTGTATTTGCTTTGGAAAACCTTGGGCTTCCCTGAGTGTCCCCCTTTCTCCTGTGGCCTGCTGAAGAGATGAAACTCAGTTGACAGCTCCCCTTGGTCTTCCCTGAGTGTCCCCCTTTCTCCTGTGGCCTGCTGAAGAGATGAAACTCTTGGCTGTCGAACTTGGTTTGTTTCTTTGTTTGCCCGAGACCAGCTGCTCTTCATGTACCTCGGGTTATCTGTCTTAGTCTTCAGCCTGCTCCTCACAGAAGACAAGAAGGGGTCCAGGATCCAGCCCCACCCAGCTGATGCAGCCTTTTGCAACTTGGCTACAGGGCCACTGCAGGCTTGCACTCACTTACCTGGCAGAGGACAGGATAGGAACGCTTGGGGTCTGGTTTCCTTTCTCATGGACTGGCTCCCACGTACCCCCTTCTTCTCTGCAATGCTGCTGAGCACCCCACATTGTAAACCACTAGGACAAGTGTGACCTTGTCTTTGATTTGATGTCACCTCTTTGATAGTCTCTGACCCACTTTACAAAGAAAGAGAAGAACCGAAGTTGCCAGCGCTGAGCTATCCTTAGAGAAGCCAATAGTTGTGACAAGGGACCTCTGGCTGACAGAAGGTCTGGACCTGCCATCAGTGTAGAACATGACCTGGTGGACAAGTCAAGTTACCAACCCCCTTTCCCTCATGTCAGATGGCAATGTCACTGCTTAGCCTGCCTCACTGACCACAGGAATGGGGAGTGGGGCTGGTTGTGGTGAGGTGGGTCATCCAGAATGAGTCAAGCTGGGCCTGCCTGACGCACTGGTCCTAAGTAAACTGAGAGGTAGGCGTGACTTGCAGTTCTCGCGTCCCAAACAAGAGGGTGTTTTTAGATCCTCAGTCCTCTGGAGGAATTCTGCAAACGCACTGGACACTTGTAGAGATGAAGCAGGGAGGACCCTCACAGTATCCAAGTTTCCCAACGCCCATGATGCACCGTTTTCCTACTTAACTGCCAGTCCTAGAAGCTGCTAGAATAAGCTCTACTTGCTTCTGGGAAGCCCGCTTTCTCTGGCAACTACCGAGGGGCCACAGAGAAAGTCTATCAGTTATTTCTCTGGTGACTATAACCTTGAAATCACTCTCCCCACAGGCTTGTTTCCTCATCAATTGTGAACTCTAAGGCCCTTTCCTGTGTGATCTTTGTTACTTTAAAAGTTGTGGGTGCTGGAGGAAGCTACCTTGTGTTTTGTTTTAAATCTCTTCCTATCTATAAATACTAATAATAACTTATTATCCCATTTCATAGATGCCAATTGTTATTGGAAGTTCCCATGAGATAATACATGAGTAACAGTGGTATAGAAAGCCAAGGTTATGGACAGGCAAGCTGTATTATTAAAGGACAGTGGGAAACTGCAATTTAGTGCTGCCCCTCAAACCTGCTGCTTCTCTGGGTGCATTCATTCATTCATTCATTCATTCATTCATTCATTTGAGACAGAGCCTCACTATATAGCACTGGCTGGTATGGAACTCAGTATGTAGACAAAGCTGGCCTCGAATTCCAGAGATCCACTTGTCTCTAGTGCTGGGATTAAAGGCGTGCACCACGCCTGACTTCTCTGGGGGTTAGAAGCTGCGCTTTGGGGAGACAACTCTGGCTTGATCACAATAGACTCAGCAGAGACTTTTCAGCACTGCCCACACCCACACCCACCGGGCATTTCTCCCTTCTCGCCCCTTGGGAATGTCTTGCTGCTCCCAGAGACTCAGCCTGCTTCTCAGGAGCTGGGGCAGGTCAGGCGCCTGGCTAGGCTGCTTCTGCCTAGGAACGATGAAGATCAAGATCGCGCTCCTCCGGAAGGGGGGCTGGCTGGGGGCGCGGGTGTTGGGCCACTAGGGTGACCCCTCCTCTCGGCAAAGCGGGCCCCAGAATCTGGACTCTCTTCTTCCCCGGGCAGGCGCAGCGTTGTGGCCTCCCTTTCCCCCCCACCCCGCCAGCCAGGTTGTTGGTGAGTTAGACCTCCCAGCCTCACGGGGCTGCTGTGCGGCTGCGGCAACGCTGGCGACTGCGGCGCTGCAGCAGAGACGAAGGCTCCAGAGGCGGCGCCACGTGAGTCTCTGGCCAGGGCCCCAGACTGGGAGGGAGATTACCGTATTTATCGAGGCCAGTGCGGGACCCTTGGGGGCGGGTCACTGCGGGCCTGCTACCGTATTTGCCCGGAGCCATGCAGCCCTTTCTGGGAGTGTCTGTGCCAAGACTTAATTACTTGTTTACTCGGGGTCTCGCGGTCCCGTGGGGGGCGCTGCGGGCACGGGGGTGGGTGGATTGCATGCGTTCCTCCAGGAGCTGGGGCTGGCAGCCCGGCAGGGTGGGCTGCGGCAGCTGGGTGGTAGCCTGTGTCTCTTCCTAGGGGTGGGGTTGATACACAGCTTATCACATTTCTCCAGGGTCGCTCGGACCCCTGGAATTAGCAGGGCTGTGAGAGGGAGTCGTGCCGGGTGGGGTGAGCTCTTGAGATTAATGCAGCGGTTTGACTGCGGGAGGCTTTTCGGCTGTATGGGGGCGGGGAAGAAGGGGCGCAGCGCTGCGGGAGACTTAACTGTGTTTTCCTTGGGCTGCCCAGACAGAGGGAAAAGCTGCTGCAGACTGCAGACGGGGAGCAGGTTGGGCTGTGAGTGTGGCACCTGATGGAGGAACTCGGGGGAGGGAGGCAAAACCATGGCCCTGGACCCTCTGGGCCTGGTCAGAGGTCTAGTAGAGAAAGAGGGGAGGTTGCCCAGCGACCAGGCTCATGCTGGCCAAGGAGACTCTAATGGTCTATCTTTGCAAATGCCAGCGCAGCTATCTGGGGAGGGATTGTGGGTGGAGGCATGACAATGGGTCCTAGTCCCTTTCTCCAGGGTGAGTGCCAGTTCCACCCAGGCTTGGAGGTAGGGGAAGACAGAGGGTGTCTCTCAGACCCCACCCTGCAGGTAGATTGACTGAGGCTAGAAGTGTGAAGACCTTCAGGGAGGTTTGAGGGAAACCCTGAACAAGCTTCTCGGATGGAGGGGGTGAGTGAAGTGGGTCCCAGTGCCCTACATGGCATGGGAGTGGAGGCAAGACACCGTGCGCTATAGGAGCAGTGGCCCTTTGAGAAAGGATGGGTTTGTGGTGGCTGAGGTGTTGGTAGGTGTGCATGCGTGTGCGTGCGTGCGTGTGTTCGTGCCTGTGTGCATGCCTGCGTATGTGTGTGAAGGGGTGTTTTGCTGCTGAGCAGCTCATATATCCAAATGTTTTTAACAGTGAGTCAGGAGACTTAGGGCCTAGGCCTGGCTCACCTTGCTGCGTGACCTTGGACAAGTATGTTGGTTGCACACAGCCTCCATGATTCCATTTACAAACCTGGGTTCAGCAGGGCTGCTCTGCCCCTTATTCAAGGATGTTGTGAGGGCGGTGGGAAACTATTTCAGAATGATAGTTGAGTGGCCTGGGAAGACAATCTTTAAAGCAGGCCTGCAGGGAGCCCAGTGCTGGGCATGTTTGTTGAGTGAGTGTGGTTGGTGCTCAGCCTTTGGACCAGACCTGGCTCCTTGGGAGCTCTTGCTTTGGTTCAGTGACCTGCAACTTTTCAAGTGTAGGATTCATCTTGTTAGACAGACGGGCTACCTTTAATGTTTAACCCGGGGAGGTCACTTTCAGGTTTATGGGGGTTTATTTTGCTTCCTGCTTTAAGCCACTGGTGACCTTCCTTCCTGCAGGTTTCAGGTCGCCTTCTGTCCTTGGGTATCTGAATGGAGAAGCTGCTCCTGGGAATTGCCCGACAGTATTTAGCCCATGCGTTGTGTGTTGCAGGCACAGGGCTCGGTGTGTCTTTTAACAGAAGGTAGCTCTCTGTTCTTGAGGTGCTGGGTTGGAGTTAGAGGTAGCATGGCCACCCTATCCCAAGGTGATGATGAAGGGCACAGGGTTGGGCAGCAGACTGCAAGGGGATGCTGGAGAGGCCAGGGAAGTCTTCTAGGAGGTAATTGGTCTTGAGAAAAGCCCAGGACGACGGGCTGTGAGGAAATGAAACAAAGCTGTAGATGGGCAAACGCTGGGGTTTGTTGGAAGTGAGTGATTCAAAAGGCTGGAGAATGGCTGATCCGTGGGGTCTTCCTTGATCCCTCTCTCTGCTTCTGCTTCTCTAGGGGCTGGTGACTGCATCTGGAAGTGCCCATGACAGAGCTGGTGTCCTCCAGGGAAGGGTCTCCTACGGGGGACGGGGAGGAGGGTCTGGGGGACGACCAAGGCCTGGTTATCCACCACCCGGCAGAGGAACAGCCCCACCGCTGCCCACTGTGCGGCCAGACCTTCTCCCAGCAGCCCAGCCTGGTGCGGCACCAGAAGGCGCACGTAGGGGCGGGTCGCACCGCCGCCTTCGTGTGTCCCGAGTGCGGCAAGGCCTTCAGCGTCAAACACAACCTGGAGGTGCACCAGCGCACACACACCGGCGAGCGGCCCTTCCCTTGCGCCGAGTGCGGCCGCTGCTTCAGCCTCAAGCAGAACCTGCTCACGCACCAGCGCATCCACAGCGGCGAGAAGCCGCACCAGTGCACGCAGTGCGGCCGCTGCTTCCGCGAGCCGCGCTTCCTGCTCAACCACCAGCGCACACACGCGCGCATGCCCACGCCACACCCGCGTCGTCCCGGTGTCTTCGGGGAGCGGCGACCCTACTTCTGCCCACGCTGCGGCAAGAGCTTCGCGCGTGAGGGCTCGCTCAAGACCCACCAGCGCAGCCATGGCCATGGGCCTGAGGGCCAGGCAGCCCATTTAGGACGTGTGCTATGACCCGTGGGAGGCCTGCCACCATCAGCTGCCTCCGATCCAGGAGCCACATCCAGGGGTGCTGAGTTGCCCCCTCTCTGGATGGGCTCATGGGAGAGGGGCAGGGCCAGCTTGGGGTGTTGGAAGGGCTTGAGCCACCCCCTTTCCTTCCTCCCCCTGGACCCTTTGGCTGGCTGCATGCATCTGCTATGGGTTCTGCGTTAGTTTGCCTCCTCAATCTCCTGTGGCCTAGAGCAGGTGAGCCCCATAGCGTTGGCCAGAGTCCCCTGGGGTGTGGAGGTGGTGGGAGTGGGGGTGGGGGGTGTACAGTGTTGGCTTTCTAGGTCAGAAGTGGGTGGGCGGGCCTGTGTTGGTCTCCATGACTGTTGCTTACCTGATCTTCATTCTCAGCACGTCAGACTTGAAAGCGACTTAGAGAGGGCCGCGCTTTCCACGGCCCCTGGGCCCAAGCTCAGTCCCCAAAGCCTGCACCCACTGTCTGGTGGCCTTGAGAAGCCATTTCACTCCATGTCTCAGTTTGCATATCTGTAAGTTGGGGACGAAGATGAGAGACTTTTCTTTTTCCCTGGGGTGTTGCGAGGCTTGGCTGTTCGCAGAGGGGGAAGTCATTTGTCCAGAGAATTTTGCTCAGTAGCTCTGGGTTGTGCTCTGCTCCACTCTTGGAAGGACCCCAGGCCCAGGCACTTGGAAGCCCACACTCATGCCTGGGACCAGGCGTCAGGGTGTCTGCACAGACATGTGACCTACAGTAGGGAGGACGTCCCTGGGTCAGGAAAACGACTGGCTTCACCTGAGGGGGGTCGAAGGCCTTGCACTGCGTCCTAGAGACAGAGAATTGCTGTAGGAAGGGCAGGTGTGCAGAAGGGTGACTTCCAGATGGCAAGGGCTAAGATTTGTTCCACAAAGGACTTTGTGTTCAGGGGGGAGGGACACTAGACATTGTAATGAGTGCGGTGAGCTCAGACCTGTGGTTTAGAATGAGAGCAGAGGCCCCGGGAGCACAGAGCAGAGGCCCCGGGGGCTCAGATGGGAGAGACAAGGGTCATTCAGGGGAAGAGCGTGGAGGCCTCAGCCAGAGGACTGAGCAAGGTCACCTGGTGAGAAGGAGAAGTGGCGCCGCCTGGCGGTGGTGGCGCACACCTTTGATCCCAGCACTCAGGAGGCAGAGGCAGGTGGATCTCTGTGAGTTCGAGGCCAGCCTGGGCTACAGAGCAAGATCCAGGACAGGCACCAAAACTACACAGAGAAACCCTGTCTCAAAAAAAAAAAAAAAAAAAAAAAAAAAAAGGAATGATAAGCAGGGCTTGCTTCCGGGACCCCTGTTTACAAGTTGTCACTCTGAGGCTCTGGCCTTTTCTGCCATTTGACAAACAAGGAAATTCCAAGGTTTTCCCAAGCCTGTTCCGAATCACAGTTAATAATTAGTGCTACAGTGGGTCAAGGATGGGCTTTGTTTTGGATTTTGGACCTGAAGATCTTTCACCTTTGTTACTGAGTTGTTGAAAAGGCAGTGAGAGAACTTGGGCATGTGGGCAGGGCGTCGGTGGGTTTGACAGGTGCTGGGGACATGCTGGGGTGCTGGGGGCTCAGAGAGGGCCTCTATTCCCTGAGCCCTGCTTCCTGCTAGGCCTACACTCAGTACTGGAGACCTGTCCATTCCCTTTGCTCTCTGTTCTACCTCATTGCTGTGTGGCTCCTCTGGAATCACCAGCCTCAGCCTGAGATGCTTGGTGGTTCACAATGTATTTGGTGGTAGAAAGTCAACAAGGTCCTGGGGTAGCAGGAGCTAGTCAGTCACTCAAGTACTCAGACCCCAAATAGCCCATGTGTAAACAGGTTAATAATCTTGGCAGTATTTGTTTGGGGGATGGTGGCAAGAGGGTTGTCGTGAAGTCCCAGATAGATTCAGAGTGGGTCCTGTGAATGTGTCCATGCAGTCCAGATGGGTGTGTAGGCAGGGCCTTTGTTACTACAATGTACTGACCATGACCTCTCTTTCTGTGAACAGATACAAAGCAGACAGGACCTTGTGGCCCAGGACATGCAGGACATAGCTGGGCATGGACACTAAGAATGGAGTCCCATGGGGTCCTGGCATCCTGGCATGAGGATGTGTCTCCTCAGAAGACCTACCTCTGGAGGTGCCCTGTGTTGGTAGAGCTGGGAATTAGAGGCTGGGTCCATGCCTTTGGTGGGAGAACTCCCCAGGTCTGACTTGAGTTACAGCTGGGCAAGCCTCCTTTTGGCTTCCTGCCCCTAGATCTCCACTCACATGTGGAAACAGACAGCACCTGTGTGGAGAGCTGACCTCGCTCTTCCAGCCCTGCCCACCACTGGGTTGAAGGGCAGACAAGAAGCGACTGGTCTGCATTATCGCAGCAAGTTGATGGCAGTCCTGGCTGGAGAGGCAAAGCTTCCCTCGAGACGTGAGCAGCACCTGAGTGCTTCTGCGCCCTCTCTGAACTAGAAAGGTTCCTGCTAGGACTTTGGGGACATGTGGCCCTTTAAATTCTGATGGAGGCTGTGGACCTTCTAGAAGTCACATACTCATGTAGCTTTCAAAATACCAAGCAGTTTCAGGAGCCTTGGGACTCCAGACTAAAGACCTCAGCCCTGGGGGTTTCATCTGCCATCCCTTTCTTACTCCATCCAAGTGTCTCTCTCTCCTCCTGGTTGCCTCTTGTTGGGAATAAAGAATTCTGAGGCTGAGCCCCTTTTAGTCCATCCATCCCTTCTCCCCAGTCTAACAATACACCTGATTTGTAGGACCCAGTCTCCCTACCTCAGCATTGCCCAAGGATCCCTGGGCTTGGTCCCTTTTCCCCTTTTTGTGTCTGACAGGATGTGGGATTTTACAATGAAGCCCCCTGCTTGGCCTTGACTCTGATTTCACTGTGGAGTCTCAAGGGGAGGCTGGACTGCTGAAGGGATAGCGGAACATTTTCTCTGTGTCTGCCCCAGGGAGAAGGAATCCTGTTTCCTTTAGCCCCACGCAACCAATCAGGCCTCTTGGTTGGCCAAGATTCTCACCTGGGAAGGTGTGGGTAGAAAGGCACCAGAACCCTGCATGGGCATGTGCCCATGGGTCTAGGCAGAGGGAGAAGTCAGTGGAGGAGTTGTGTGTGTCCCCTAAGCAAGCAGGTGTACAAGTAGGGGGTGTGGGTCTTGGGCTACTGTTGGTCAAGGACTCCTGTCTTCAAATGTGAGCAGGTCAGTCAGGAGGCTGTGGATATTTCTCTTTTTCCCTAGAATGAGGAAAGGGGAGGCCTCCCTTTTCTGCTAGGGCTTGGTAGGAACCTGTGGATTCCTAACCTGGGGTCTTACTGCCTGTATCCCCTATGCAGTTTGGGTTACAGGTTCTTACTGAACCCCTATGCCTTATTCTGGGGTCACTGAGTACTAAAGCAATCTGAGAAGGGGGAGCATTCCCCAGACCCCAGGAGCTCCCATGCAGCTCTTTTCCTTGGCTAGTCTAGAGGAGCCCTCACCGTGCCCCTCAGCTAACTGCCCAGCTCGTCTCTTCCCTGCTGTAACTGTACCCTGACTTCCCCTGTACTGCCCCGAAATGTTCTTTTCCCCACCCCCAAAACCCTCCTTCTTCACCAGGGCTGAGCCTCCCAGCACCCCACCGCCATGCTCCCTCTGGACAGTACTCACGTTAACACACGGTGTCTCCCTTGAGTACTACATACTGTGTAGTCTTGTGCACGCTGCTTCTGTGTCTGTGTATACGTATACGTGCTGTGTGTGTGCGCACATGTGCACCTCAAGTCCCCAACTAGACTGTGAGCTCCCTGAGGGCAAGGGGCTGTCATTTCTTCTTCAACCCCAAGTGGGTCTAGCACAGGGCTGGGCTCCTAACTCTCAGGAAAACGCTTGTCAACTGGCTGATGGAATAAATGTTGGAGGTTGGGGGTGGTGTGGGAGCTGTGCAAGGGGAGAGTGCACGAGAGTTAACTACAGATGCATTGGGTTGGGTTGTGGGCTGGCTCCTTGGATCAATAATGGATGCTTGAGGCCTCAGGTCTTTGCATTTTGGGGGTGGTAGAAGCAGAAGGGATACCCCCCAACACACACTATGGCTACACAGGAGTGCACCTGAGTGGATGTCCAGGTTGGGTATTCCTGGAAGTCCCTGACATCTGTTGGAGCCGACTCAAATAAATGTTCTCTACAACAGTTGGTATGTGGAGCAGTCTTTGGGGGACATAGCCAGGTGGGGTAGTGGCTTCTACTCCAACCTGTATCTTAGCCCCCATCGCTTGTGGGGGAATTTCCTCCAAGGTAACATGGACTTGTGTTCAAAGTGGAATAGTAACCAAAGACTACAGGAAGCAGATCACCAGCTACAGCAGTTAGCACAGACCTCCTTGTCCAGGTAGTGACTACTATTGGAGTCTGAGTCACCCTCAGCCCACAGTGGAACAACACCTGCTCAGAAGCTTTGAGGTGATTCCCGCTGGCTCCCAAGCACTGGGCCACCAAGAAGATTTGAGTCAGGAGACTGGACTCCAGGGTGGGCATCGGGCCAGTCACATCTCTTCTGGTTGTAGTCCTAACAGTCAGCTCTCTGACTTCATAGAGCTGGGGTGAGAACAAACAAGTCAGACAGAACGGATGCAAATTCAAAGCATGTCCCTGTCCTAAGGTGGAGCCTGTCACAGACCTCATTTTCTCTAGTGCAAGTGTGTAGGGTCCGGACCCAACCATGGCTGAGGAGTACTCTAGATTCTGTCACTAGCCAAGGAGGGTCATGAGTGGGAAGTCACTCCGGGCCAGTGCCTGTGAAGCCTGGCTCTAGGGTGAGGGGATGGGGTAGAGTAGTCAGGGTTGTGTTCCCTTCACATTGCCCAAACTGAAGGCGACAGCAGGGCCCACCCCTTTCTTACTCTGCCCCCAATCCCAGGCAGAAGCAGCGGCTGTGGCCCCGCCTCTCTTGGCCAAGTACCTCACTGTGAGCTTCAGACAAGGTTGGAGGCCTGGCTCAGCCTGAGCTATGGCCTGGGGAGGACTTTAGGAATGGCTGGATCACAACCCTTCCGAGTCCTACCTGTCACTCACAGGGTGAGAACAGGGGAAGAAAACCGGAGCTGAGTGGATGGTGGGTAAATCCCAGGGACCGAGCAGTGTGTGTGTGTGTGTGTGTGTGTGTGTGTGTGTGTGTGTGTGTGTGTGTGTGTGTGTTCCTGTGTGTTTGCACCCAGGGATGTGTGTGTGTGTATGTGTGTGTGTGTGTGTGTGTGTGTGTGTGTGTGTGTGTGTGTGTGTGTGTTCCTGTGTGTTTGCACCCATGGGTGTGTGCTCTCTGGGCATTACTGTCTCCTGGGAGCTTGTTATGTGAAGCCATGGGTCCAACCCCAGATTCGGCTTGGAAGCTTCATTTTAAAAAGATGTCATCCACACTGGGGAACTGTGCACCCTCTGAGGAGGACCTTCTGGCTCGGGTATTCCATTGGCCCTCTTCCCTTGGGGTGGGGAAGAGGAGATGGAGATGGCTTTTTTCCTCTTGGGCAAGCTTGCGGGATGTAGAGGCGAGCGAGGGTACCTTCAGGGGGTCTATCTGCCAGTACTGTTTGTTACCTCTTTCTGGTCCTGGGGACTGGCCATATCAGCAGGGCCCATCCCCACCTGGCTTGCACAGCCCAACTTAACGGGAATGGGTGGGGATACAGGACACAGCAGAGAGCGAAAGGCTAAGAAATAACAAGTCTTGGACCAAAAATGTCGCATCTTTCCTGGAGCAGGCTCCACCCCTTGTCTATACATCCTGCCTCAGCTGCTGTGTTCAGACACACCAAGAGCCCCACCCCAAGTGAAAGAATGTCTCTGTGTGTGCTCTTGGTGTCCCTTGTCCCTTTTATAGCTTTGCTGATTGTTGGCCATTGTGATAGTTAATACTGTCATCTTGATAGGACCTAGGCACACCCAGGAGACGCCTCTGGCCACGCCTGTGAAAAATTATCTAGATTAGGTTAATTAAGATGAAAAGACTCACTTTAATGGTGGGTGGTATTATTCCACCGGCTGGATCAAAAGAAGAAGGTGAGCTGAGCATCAGCATTCAACTCTCTGCCTCTTGACTGCAGATGCCACGTGACCAGCTGCCTCCTGCTTCTGCCCCCACCCCCCCATGCTCCTTCCCACTGCTACCACTCCGCCCCTGCCATGAGGGAATGACTCCTTTGAACTATAAGCTGGAACAAACCCTTCCTCCTTTAGACTGCTTCTTGTCAGGTATTCGGTCTGAGAAGTGAGAATTAATATAGACACCAGGGCTTACAGCCGCCCAGCCTGGGCGTCGCCTCACCCCTGCCCTAGTTGAACTGGAAGCTGAGAATGGGAGGCGAGGAGCTTTGATGCAGCTGATGCTCAGAGTTTTGGGGAGAGCTGAACAGGAGGGGTCTCCCGAGGAGACCCAGTTGGGGCATCCTGGCTCTGCCCTGTGCTGTTTGCAGTCACTCTCGTTCTCTGGAACCTTCCCAAGAATTCTCATCCCACCAAATGAAAGTCCCTGTTTCAGGCCCTGCTTCCTGGATGCCCCACTGAATGGGACAAGGTCTTTGAAGAGTAAGAGCCAAGCTCTTGCCCACACAAGACAGTTCTGCGCGGTACTGGTTACCTGAGGGTCTTCTTCAGTAAAGAACTGTCACTGGGTTCATGGGTGGTAGATGACAATGGGCAAAGGGACCCAAATGCTGGCTGGGTAGCCCCCCAGTGGAGGCACAGTTCCTTTTAACTGGGAACAAGAGCTGAGAGCAGAGTTTAGAGGTACGGGCTGGGGTCCCATCTGACTGTGTGGCTTTGAACGAGGTCTTTAACCAATTTGAACCTCTCCTTCTGCTCTCTGACCAGAGCTGGGCAGAGGAGCCAACTGTGGGAGTTTCTCCAGGGTGTGCCCTGGACTGCTGGCCTGAGGGTACAGACCCACATGGGCTGATGACAGGCTGTGTCCAAAGCCTTTGGGACTGTGAGGCGTTCCTCCTGTCCAACTGTGCAGCTGGGTCTCCAGGAGCAGGCAGCAGGGGTCCCAAGACGGTCTGTGGTCTCTGAGATGCTTCTCAGCTGCTACTCCCCAGCACAGCAGCCATCATCTCCGCCCTGCAGCAGATGCCTGATGAACTGCAGTGTGGTGTCTCTTTTTCTTTAGGCACAAAATCCTCGGTCATGCAGTTTCTAGCAGCATTCCAGGAGAGTCACCTTGGAGCAGACTTTGTTTCTGGAATGCCATAAGTGAATACCCGCTGCTGCTCTTGGACTCAGTGGCACCTCACAGCTGCTTCTGACCATGAGATTGCCATTCCACTTTATAATAACCACTATGAATTGAGTACAGCCTGGAGTGGGGAGCTCTGGTGTAGGAAGGAGCTGGAATTTTCCTTATGAGGGCCTGAATTGGTCCTCATCTGGCACCTGGATAAATGCTAGGGGACCGACAGGGTCCCCCATGACTATCTTGTGGATTCAAGAGAACCTTTGCTGAAGTCTTGGCAAGGAAGGCTCCTGGGGTGGGTGGCAGGGAGGTACACTGTGTGTCCTGAGAGTTGAGGGAGGAATGGCTGATGGGCAGAAGTGACAGTGTCAGCAGACCTATATAACTTTCCACAGGTGTGGTGTGGGCCATGGGCGGGGGTTGGGGTGGGGGGCAGGCTACATGAGTCCCAGGACTGTGAGAAGCTACATCATGTTTTGATCACAAGAGAACTGTAGTTTATGCTGTCAGGGGGATACTCTGACCATGGCTTCCTGCAGCTCCTATCACGTGCTCCCCTTGGTAACTGCAGCTCCGTGGCTCAGGCTTGCTTTTCTCCTTTATACCACAGCTCTTAGCTTTGCTGGGGTCCGGGACATGTTACCCCCCATTATGGCATTTGAACATGGAAAAATGGCAGGCAGTCATCAAATGGTCACTTTCACCATCCCCCTGTCTACTCCCTTGAAGAGGCCACAGAAGAATCTCTGACCTCTAAAGTAGGCCAGAGCCTTCATTCCAGAGGAGTCTCTCTATGTGAGGGTTATGGAAAGCCGTAGAGACTGGGAGGAACTGGATCCAACTGGTCTTGCTGACTTTGTGTTACTGTTGAATAAGAACAATCCTTGGTTCTCCAGTCACATTCTAGCACAGCTGTCTGAATGGACAGCTCAGCCAGGTTTCCCTGCCTCTGGGAGTTTATTTCTGTCAGCTCCGGCACCACATAAAGCTGACATGAAATAGGTCTGTGTGCTTATCACCTTCGCTTGCCTTTCGTTGTGGGTTTCCATCACAGACCTGTGGTGGTGGTGGGAGCCTTCTTTCCAATGCTCTGCTCTACTGTTCCTGACGTCTTTCTTGTGGATGTCCCAGGCGGATGCTGGTGTGCCTGTCACTGTCCTCATTGGATGTCTCTCGACTAGACTCCTTGCTTCCCACACCATCTGTGTTGCCCTGAGCCCTGGTCCTCTGGCTGTGTCAGGTGACAGAGTCCTAAAGTGTAAATCTCAGGCAGTTTCAAATTGTCATGATCTCTCATCCATTGCAAACAAAAGCTTCCATATATATTAAAAGATTTTAAAATATATGGAAGAATTCAGGTCAAAGTAAAGAATTGCAATGGAATAAATATTTGTGAACATGTAACTCTGAGAACATTACATTTAAAAACTTGTGGGGCAGAACTGAAACAGTAATTACAGGAAAACATTGCTGTAAATACATTCATGAGAAAAAGAGAAAATGTGGGGATCTAAAAGCGAAAAGCTCAGCTTTAAGGCCAGGCATGGTGACAGATACCTGTATTGCAGAACTCCTGGAGGCTGGGGATGGCAGAGGATGGAAAGTTCCCGGTCAGCCTGGGCTAGTACCTAGACCTTGCTTCAACACAAGGATAACAACAAACAACAAAGCAAATCCAATTTAAGTTAGCAAACGTGGGCAGACGGTGTAGCTCAGAGGCAGAATGCTAATGTTTGCCCTGGTTTGATTCCCAGCACTGAAAATAAAAAAGGTAAAATGTCAAGGTATGCTTACAAAAGCAGAAAAGTTGCAATAAAAATAAAAAATGGATGGGTTACAGAATAAAATAATATCAAAGAGAATAAAAACAATCAAAATGACTTCTTTGAAAAGACTAAACAGGAGAACTCCCACCCAACTGTGCCCCAGTTGCTGACCAGCAGGGAAAACTCCTGCAACCAAGCTCCCC